GCATTTTATCTACCTGGCAACCCAGTTAATGCTGCAACCTGTGCAGTGCTGGCTTTTCTCATAGAACTGAAAATGGTAGTGATAGCACGAGAAAGCATTGGGTCATCTGCAGTATCCTTATTTCTGGACCATTTTTTATCCAGTAGTGAAATGCGAGGTCCCTAGACAGTTAAATCTATATTTTTCTCTTCAGGTAGCCACCCCATGACACGAATGTAATTTGTTTTGTTTCCGGCAGCTTGAAGATCATGAGTATAAACCTTTAGATCCTAAAGATATACGTCTTCCACCCCCAATGCCCCCCAGTGAGAGACTACTGGCTGCGGTTGAGGCATTTTATAGTCCACCATCTCATGACAGGCCTAGAAACAGGTAAGAGTAGGTATAGCTAACAATATGGTAAGGAAATGCCCTAAGAAGCTGTCTCGAACCACAAAGTGCCTCTCTCTTCCTTCGCCTGTGTCTTGGCTCTTCTAATGCTGAAATGAGTGTTCTTGTATTTTAAACTGCATCCGTGGTTTGATCTTGCACTGAGATTTGTGAGACCTTTTTTGCCCAGGCCCTTTGTTCCCCACAAAATCTAGTGGAAATCCTGAACGTCTCCTTGATCAAAGCAGTTTTACAGATGTCGGTTCTGTGTGTGGTTGATTTATTGCAGTGAAGGCTGGGAGCAGAATGGACTGTACGAGTTCTTCAGAGCTAAAATGAGAGCGAGGAGAAGGAAAGGTCAGGAGAAGAGAAATAGGTGAGAAATCCTGTCTGCTGCCTTCTGCAGGTTTGGAAGGTGCTAGAGATACCTTGCACTTAATGCAGAGGGGAAGTCTGTAGCAGTGTGCTGATGGGATAACTGAGTTTCAGCTTGCTGGAATTTCTGTCTAATCTGCAGAAAATAGCTTTTTGCCACGCTTAAGTTTTCACTGGATTGTCTGCAGAAATACAATGCTTGTGTGTAATTTGAATTTGATCAGAAGTATTTTTGCATTTCTCCTGCTTCTCTCAGGAGTTTCACTGGAGTTTTTCTGCTTTTACCTGTGCAGTGGGCCTTCTCGCTCTCGCAGTCGGTCTAAGAGCCGAGGTCGCTCATCCTCCCGGTCCAATTCACGATCTTCAAAATCATCTGGCTCCTATTCGAGGTCGCGATCTCGCTCTTGCTCTCGATCACGATCCTATTCACGCTCTCAGTCCAGGTAGAGTGCAATGGGCTGAATCTCAGGAACTGAGGAGGTGGAAATAAAACAGCCCGTGGGGCTGAATGAGGAACGCTGGGTGTTGGTCTGGTAACTTGTGCATCTGCTCTCCTGTGCTCTCCCTCCAGAAGCCGGAGCAGGTCCCGCTCTTCTCACAGCCGCTCGCGATCGCGGTCACGATCAAGATCGAAGTCGTACTCGCCAGGAAGGCGGCGCCGATCCCGGTCTCGCAGCCCCACTCCTCCGTAAGCTTTTCTTTGTTTATTTATCTTTTTTACCTGGGTTGTTGGAAAAGTACCAAGCTGGGTATATTTTAAGCATTTTAACAAATAGTAGAAATGAAGATGGAAGGCAGATTTAGAAATTATTTATATGCTGTATGAGCTTATAGAGATAGTATTACTCTGTTGTGGTAGCTTTTTTTTAAAACACTGCAACTATGAAGACCTCATATGCATTCCTGTGCTGTGTTAGTAGACCATAGTGTTTGATTTCCTTTGTGCTGAGAAGCAGGGCAGCTGTTTCTGGCACCTTTGTAACTCCATAATCTATGGCTTTATAAAAGAATAGCTCAGTAGAGTGGATAGGATTATACTGGGTGTTAATGTTTAACAGAAATGGCCTTGCTTTGTGTCAGAACAGGATGACTTGTTCTTAATTTGCTCTTTTTATTTCCTTAGTTCTTCTGCTGGGTTGGGCTCCAGTTCTGGGCCTCCTATACCAGAATCAAGACTTGGAGAAGAAAATAAAGGCCATCAAATGCTAGTAAAAATGGGTAAGATGCTGTTCTGGAATCTTAGACAAGCCAGGAAACAAAATTGGGCACCCACCTCTTGGATACAATTAATTAACGCATGTGTATAAGTAATTATCCTGTGGTATTCTTGGTCAGCGTAAGGATATTCAGAGATAGGAGGATGTAGAGCGTGGACCAGTGGTAGTAGTTGCCTTTCTGGGAAACATATGGAAGGCAGGGACATGAGTTTGGATCCAGTGGAGTTCACCTCCATGGGGTGTAGATCCACAGGGCTGGTGCTGATGTTTTCTCCCAGAATCCATGCGAGTTAATGCTTTTGAAATAAATGGCACAGTGCATTGTTGTTTCAGGCTGGCTGTTACCGTCCTGCTGTATCAAACTGACACTTTTTTTGGTTGTTTAAAAAAAATTTCTGTCTTCATAATTCTAGTAATAAAAATACAGTTACAGGATTGCAATGTTATATCCTTCCTGTAGGATGGAGTGGATCTGGTGGATTGGGAGCCAAGGAACAAGGGATTCAGGATCCAATTAAAGGAGGGGATATCCGAGACAAATGGGATCAATATAAAGGAGTGGGAGTTGCATTAGATGACCCTTACGAAAACTACCGAAGAAATAAAAGTTACTCGTTTATCGCACGCATGAAGGCCAGAGATGAATGTAAGTGAATGTTTCTAAGCAATTTACAAAACTGTATTGTGGACTTGATACTGATTTTGTTTTATTTACTGTAAACCCAAATCATAAGAGTTTAACTCTTAATTCTTTCTAATATAATGGCTACAATAAAACAGGTAAGTAGATAAATACTCTGATTAATCCAGCATCTGGTCCTTTTTAGGAGTTATGTTGTATTCTGATTTCTAAAACATTAATTAGCCTGTGTAATTTATTAGTTCTATGTAAGCCACTTCGTGGCTACAATACCAAGAGCCTGCATCTGTGAATTTTGCCCTGCACCAACCAGGAGCAAGCCCAAAGGTAGTGGAGGGAGCCCTGCCACAGGAGGGATGGCTGCCGAAGCAGCAAGGTCCTTGTGGTTAGACCTTGTGTACTGCTTGGCCCTGCCCAAGGCAGAGTTTGCTACCATTAGTGCTGTCTTCTGCCGCAGCCAGAACTGGCAGTAAATTCACTGTAGTGTAGGAAGGGTTCACAAAACGTGGAGGCGCTTCTTAAGAGATGGAGACAATTCTCCAAACGATGGATTTTTTTATTTTTTTTTGCGGAGAGTCTGTTATGTAGAACAACTGCACTTGGCAATGACTAAAAGGAAAAAAAATTGGCATGCTGAATGAAGTCACTTCTGCCTATGGCTGCAGTAGATCTGTGTAATCAAATGGGTTCAAATAAAGCCCAAAAGGAAAAATTCCTTATTAACAGAGCCCTCAGTCCATGAAACAGTTCAGACAGCTTAGGTGACTGCAGATTGTGTAAGAACTCTTTTCCCTATTGTTTCAGTGAAGCGTGACACGCAAGACCCTCCACCACCCGAATAAGACTCTCTGAAGAAAGATGTCTTGCATCTTCTACAAAACACTAAACTTGTATAAATCCGGATTAAAGTCTGGAGGAAGTGACAAAAGAATTACTTTAAAAACTATGGTGAAAAATGGAAAGCTATGACATGTATTTCAACACTTGCCGTTTAGTGTTTAAAAAAAGGCCAGTCATTACTATGACATGTCTAGCAAGTTTAAGAATTTCCCTTTCTTTTGCAAAATTTTTTAATTAGTTACCCATTTTATACTAGAATTAACCCCCAGCCAAGCTATCCCCGGTCCAGGACTGTGATTCATTCATTCCTGTGGCATACAGACATTATCTGCTATGGTTATGTGTTCTCTAGTTCCATAATGTATGTTTATTTCTCTCAAAAGGTTAATTCTATTTGAAGTGGAGGGGTGCTGCCTTGGGATCAAGTCAGACTGATGCTGAGCAGTGTATCCTAATGTCTAAGTGGGGAATGACGCATCTAGTTCCAGTACAGGTGACCTATGAGCACTGTGCGAGCTTGTTAGAACCTACCACACAACTTAACGCCCCTACACACCAGCCGCTGCAGTCACAACTCTGCTCAGAACACGAGGGTTAACTGTTGTAGCTTTTCAAGCGCTCTAAGGGATGTTCAATGCTTTGTAATGGAAGACGTTCTTTAAGCTTTTTATATTTTTGTATATACCCTTTAATAAAAGCTAATTAGTTGAATAGAATAAAGTTTCTCTGCTGTGCAAGTTTCTAACAATGAAACGTTCTTGGAAACTTCCTTTAATCTAAATGAGGAAAAAAAAACAAACAAACAACCCTTTTGTAACAGTTTCCAGAGACCACCAGCTAAAGATGTGAGGCCCTTGCACTGCATTTCCACTCCAGAGGTCTGCGTGGTGGTAACCTCTTCCAGAGTCGTTTGTTTGTATAGCAGAAACCCTCTTAAAACCATTTAATTAATATGGTGAAATACCAGTTTGTTCTAGATCTACTGTAGTTGTGGAACTGTAACTGTCTGTGAATCCGCATACACCACCTGTATGTTACCAACTTGTGAATTTTATTGTTTTGCCTCCCAATAAACACTTTTTTTAATAAAAATAAAATAGTTGCTCATAATTTCAAAGTGGATTTCAATATGTTGGCTATAAGCCTTCTTTGCATTGAATTTAACTTAACTGTGTGTGTTTGGTTTTCTGACAAGGCTAATTATACATAAACACTTTAAATATGGCACTTAAGCCAGGATCTGGTATTTTTCTGTGATCATATTTCTGGGGTGCTATAGTACAGCCTTTCATTTCTACTGTGATCACAGATCACATGCTCTACCTGATAAACATGGTGACTTACCACACTGTTTTCTGGGTTGCTTTTTTGCTGAACACTGACATAGTCTGGCTGAAGGCTCCTGCCTATCCCTATATCATGTACATGATTTTTAAAAATTCAGATATAGGAAAATAAATTATAAAAAGTTACAAAGCAAATAGTACAAATCCTTTCAGTACTGGAAGGGTTTCTTGTTCCAGCTTGAGATCTGTGAATTTTACTTTAAATTCCAGCAGTCAAAGCAGTTTTTCCTCCTGTGCTTTCTGAATTTCTTCACGTGCTTGCTTAATTGTTAGAGGTGGGGATTTGTGATTCTTGATGTACTGCAAAGAAAAAGTTAATATACCAAGTTCTTTATTATGTAGATAAATATTCTTTCTAGCATTTAATAAATAATAAATCTTTATGTCAGAATTCCTGCACTTTTCTATACTGCCAACAGAAACTGATACTTTGGTTGCAGCATTAGAAGTATCTTTGCTTGTTTGAGGACAGCTAAGTGCTACTGCAGAAAGCTTTTTCCTTCTATTTTGCCTCCAGTAAGACTTTAGGTTTTGGGTTTTTTTCCCCTCTATAAACTCCTGACTTGTTATTAATATAGGCACAAGCATTATAGCAGTCTACTTCTATGAAGTAATTTATTCAATGATAATATGAACTTTAATAATATGCAAAGAAAAATCTGTTTGTTGCAAATACTAGAAGTGTTTGGAAAGAAATAGACTCGTAGTCTCTCTAGGCTGCTGTCTGCTGTATCACAAATACCTGTTTAGCCTCTTCCAGGGTGTGGTAGTGGTACTTCTCACTCTCTAAGGACTCCACCAGGGAGAGGTGAAGGTGGTGAATGTTCTCTACAAACTGCTGAGTCAACATCAGGTGCTGCTTCAACATGGTGTTCAGAACAAGAGCTGAGGGCCTGTATGCTGTCAGGGCTGCAAGAAATGGAAAGGGGATGCTGTAGTGATACATGACAGTCGGTAAGGGCAAAACAATCCAAGCAGGGAGTAGATGTATAAAATACAGTAAAACAGCAGGAAGGAACAGGTTTTTTCAGTACCTTCTACTGCATCCATGCTGATGACATGACTGGCAATGGGTGCTGGATCGACGTAGCTGTTTCCTACAGGTGGGGCAAGCACTGCAGGGGTGTTTGCTGTGCACAGGATAAAATTAGAGTTACTGGGTTTGTAGGGTGGAAATGTTTAGCGTTCTTACTCTGTTGTTCAATCATATTTTCTGCAGGTAGCAGATAAAAGTGTTGGGCTTTAGAAAGTTTTTAATGTCTGCTAGGGGAAGGGAGGACTGAAACAAACTCTATCAAGGCTGAATAGGCTAGCATATAAAATACAAAAAAAGTTAAAATTGTCTGAATAGGGCAATATCTCATGAACTTACTCTTTGACCAGCAATAGGTGAATGGAGGATCTGCTGTCTGAACCGCAGTTTCTTTGACGGTTACTCTGTGTACCTGCTCATGCCGCTCTCTGGTAAATGGAGGTGCTGATGTTGAACATGGGTGTTTGCCAGAATATGTGCAGCTCTCAGAATGTGCCTCTGACTTTTGTGATCCAGAATCTCCATCTGGTGTAGACAGAGAGCTTTCAAAGTCTTCAGAATATTCTGAATTAACAGTTCCTTCATCCTGATCCAGACAATCCTGCTTGTGTCTAGGGAAATCTGCAGAAACTCCATTTAAATGCTCAGAGATTTCCACTTCAGTCACATTTTTTTCAGTATCCCCTTCAGAAGCATCATTCACACCAGTCACTGCACTTGACATTTTAAGATCTTTGTCTTTTTCCACCAGGAATGCATCTCTTTTTGGATTTCTGTTTGATTCTTGAGTAATTTCTACATCTGTCTCCTGAAAAAAAAAAAACAAAAGCAAAAACCAGCTGTATGTTAGAAGAATCAACAAAATATACTCTAGAATATGCTGCCATTATTCTTCACCTGGTCTGCAGCCTATAAGTGAGAGGCAGCTACTGCTTCATTAGGAAATAAAAACATTGCTATTCTGTGTCACCTTGCAAACTCTGCAGTGCTGTTACGTTTAGTAAGGAAATGCAGACACTAAAAGAAAAATAATTCGGTCAGGTTTCAGTAGTAGGCTCAAAAATCCCAATCCAACCCTTAGAGCTGAGCCATACCCAGCCCACAGAGTCTGGGAGTACAACAGAAGGATTCCTTTTAGAATATCCACTTTCTAACAAAGGTAGAAGGGAAATACGTGCTAGTAGGGATTTCCTACTTACTTTCTGCTTGAATTCTGCTGCCTCACTGGTGATATTTGGTGCCAAATCATCAAGGCTCAGGATATTCAGCCTGAAGTCTGCAATCAAATGACAAATCATCGTGAGACTTTGCATGAAAATTACAGTGCACTTTCCCTTAAGTGAGAAAAGCGGGGGAAAATAAATCATCACTGGATTCCTCCTTTAAAGTGTAATACTAAAAGGTAATACACTCTCCCACTGATCTATGAAAACTATTCTGGATGTTGTAATTGTTTAGACACCACAATGAAGTGTCACCCAGGGAAACATCAGTAAACTGAATCCACTAAATCAAAAGCCAAGAAAAATACAAATTATTACACTAGGAGAAAAAAAAAAGAACATAATTACTTTAATAAAGCTTCACTTCATGTAAGCTTACACCAAAGAATCCTTTCAAAGTGAGTATTTGCCTGTGCTTTTTTAGTAAATTTATCAGTAGATTATTAGTACAATTCATGGCAAGATTACTGAGAGTCTTTTAGAACGCTTACCATTTGAGCTGCTGCTGAGTGAATCTTCTGCATCAGCTGCTTTTGAAAATAATTCATCTAATGATTTTATTTCACTGTTGTCACTTTCAAGTGATATTTGACTTTGCTTGGCGTTGCCTGTTCTAGGCAGAGTAATCTTGATAGTACGGTCTTTTGTGAAAGAAGATGGCAATTGAGATCTCATATTATGTCGTTCTGACAGGTTTCTGCTGGCTGGTGAAGGTATTGGTGAATTAATTCTACCAAAAACACTTTTCTCTGAGCCTATGCTATGAAAAGAAGATGCTTTAGATACCTCTGACAGTGAAATTTCCTTATGAGATGGAAGAGTCATTCCTGGAGTCTTTCCACCCCATTTAGAATCACTTGCAACAACCCTCAGATCCTTATTTCCACTGGAAAACTCCAAAGAGCTCCTCATCAGCTGCCTCATCTCCTCTTCATCACTATCCAAACCCATAATGTTCTTCTTAGGGCTTTGGATGTTTTCTTCTGCCTTAGAACAAGAATTTGTGAGGGTCACTTTTCCACTGGCACTTGCATAATTCTTCAGGTATTTCTTGCCCCTTGCGCTGCATTTGTGACTGGATGCAGAGGAGGACTCTTCACTCAAAGGCTTCTGGCCCAAGTCAGTCTTTTGCAGTTCCATCTGCTTTTTTCGATTCATTATTTTGCTTTCTAGTTGTGCCGCTCTCCTCAGAGCTGAGCTCGACCGTGTGTGGGAAGCACAACTCGGAGTGCTCTTCGCTACATGTCCACTCGCAGTCTGCACAGCGCTTCCCCACGTCTGGCACCGCTGCGTTCCATGTAGGTTTTCGTTGCGTACCTTGAGGAACCTGCTGCGGGAGAACGGAGCTCTTCCAGTTTTCTCCACCTCTGTGTCAAGCTCGGAGAGGTCACTACAGGAGCGGGGAAGGACGCTGCGCCCGGCTGTGATGGTTCCGCGGGGAGCATCGCTGTGTCTCTGCCCAGAAAAGGATGCAAAGAGCCCTCAGAGGCGGCGGCCGGCGACTCGGTTCAGCCCCCTGCCCGGACGGGGCACACA